ACCAACTAAGAGAATCATATCAATTCTCTCTGATGTAGGATAAGTTTGAATTTTTTTTGTTTTAACTGACATAAAATGATAAACTAGTTGTTAAAGTTGAACTAATTAGACAACTATGTTGAAGTAACGTCAGGCATATCACAGCCACCTAGATTTTATAAAATAATAAAGATCTACTCCGTTCAAGTAATGTAAATTAAAATATCTAGGAAAATCTTTGTTTGAGGGGTAGGCAACCTTAATAGTATTTTGAAGAGATATGAATTCTCCATTGAATATCGGAATAATATACTGGGTGTTCCATTTAAAATAAAAGAGTAACATGCTTTTAAAGGTGACCAATGTTCAATATTAATTTTGTCCCACCCTGTATAACTTTTTGGATCAAGTTTTAATATGATTTAAAGTACAATAGTTAATCTAACTACATATTAGGTTATACTGGGTAAATTCGAATTAAGGTAGCTTTTATTGTAATTTAAAAAATTGTTCTTTATTTCTAGAAAATGTTAAATATGTCAAAATCCTTACATTTTAGTCATATACTTTTGTTATAAAATTTACCTTTATTTTTCTCCCAGAATCCGACAATCAATAAATATATAGGGTGTTCCATTACAAAAAACGAAACTTTGATATGTAACTTTTTTTGGGGACACCCTGTAGAACTCTCTATATTTTTAAAAAGTGCTCTAAATTAAACTACATATGCTCACAAAATTTCATTTCAATACAAACTGTCGATGTCGTTCTCCTTGGAGCCTCCGCGGCGTATGAGAGGCGCAACCCTGTATTACCCACTAATATAATTTATAAACCCTATAACTTTTTTATTTGCCTTTTTGCGGTACATCCTATATTTTACCTAATAATTGTCTGTTTCTATACATAAAAGCGACCCTGTATAAGTTTTATTAACTAACTGTAATAATAATCAATAACATTTTTTTATTGACAACATGAACCAAAACCACCAAATTATTGAGTCTGACCGACATTTTATTGAACCGGAATTTCAGTCAGCCATATTTATCCCCCACTGCGCGTCATCTAAGTTAGTTGATATGCTCCTTCTCTAATATTTTTGCTCAAAACTTATCCTCTATGACAAGCCTTTTAAATTGTATAAAAGTTTCATATAGAACATAGCCGAATACAAAAACTGTCCTTTCTATACAACTGGCAGGAACAAAGGACGCATCCGTCTGTCCGTTCTAGACGTTTGCCCTTAAATAATGGCCGAAATATTCAGAAAGTTTCTGCACCAGAAGAAGCGTTCCGGACGCGACCCGGGACCGGAGCCTCATATTTCCGGGTTTCCGGCCATCGTAATTGCGAGTCTGTGGAGTTATGTCACAGTGCGGCCCCTCGACAATCCAGACTTTGCAGGCAACCGGAAATGCATATCGGGGGATGATTTAATAGAAAATCGGGTAATAATGCGAAATAGATAATTTATTGGTATTTGTAGAGACTCTTACGGGAAACCCCTTCTAAATATAGATATATTGTTTTCCATAGCAACTGTTAAAATTACCTTATATCTATCAAAAATAGTAGATAAAATAGTACTTTTACCGCAAGGGTAGATTAAATGATACTTTAACAGCGAGGATAGGTTGAAAACTTTATTTCTTCTGGCACGTTTTTTAATTGTTTCCATTTTTGAAAATTTTTGTATTCCTTTTCATAAGTTATTCGGGATTTAAATGGAGAGAAGTAGTTTGGGTATGGCGTTTGTCGCCTCAGCCTAAATATCTGTTGGTAATTTACTTATTTCGTTTTGAGCCATTTCTGGCTCCAATTCAATCAGCAATCGACACGAAAGAGAATTAAAAAATATTCACTCAAAACTGACAACTAAAGGGACAGTTTTATTTATTTGTCAAATTACATAGAAACCAACGCCAACCCAGCTCAATATTTTTTCTATTCGTAATAAATTCCTTGAATTAATAATTTCTGAATATTTTTTAAAACGTAACTCGCTATGGAAAAAAAAATATTGTTTTATACATGAGGATAAAATTGCATTATAGTCTCCCGAAATTAATTCACGAGCGATGAAATCGCGAGCCTTTTGACTTGCGAGTTTAATTTAAATTTTACTTACTCAAACCCGTGATAATTGATTGCGAAAAAGTTGCATTAAAAACTAAAAAACTGTGTTGTGAACTGTGAACTGCAAAAACGATCGTAGATCGTGGCATAACGTCGGTTTCCAATGTTTCATAGGTATTTCACATACAATTAAAAAAAGTTTCTTGTATGCAAAACACTGTATATTATGTATAAAATTAAAAGAAAATAATAACAAAATTGAATAGATAATATTTAGCGACATAATTCCGGAAAAAGTTGTTGCATTAAAAACTAAAAACTGTGTTGTGAACTGTAATCTGTGAACTGCAAAAACCATCGTGGATCGTGGTATAACGTCGGTTTCCAATGTTTCATAGGTATTTCACATACAATTAAAAAAGTTTCTTGTATGCAAAACACTGTATATTATTTATAAAATTAAAAGAAAATAATAACAAAATTGAATAGATATTTAGCGACATAATTCCGGAAAAAAGCTGAACCGATCTGAAATTATCAAAAGCTTTTGGGTCGCGACCGTTGCAAGAATAGCGCCAAATAGTATTTACATTGTCCTTATGGGCACTTTCCAATCTAAACTTGCTACCACCTAACAGTTTAAAAAGAAATGCTGCTGTCAAAAAATTATGATAAAAATATATAAAAATCTGACTTAGTAAGTCTGAAGTCATTATTAATATTAATTTGCATAAAGCATGTTAAAAATTATCACTAATTGTAGAAAGATTAAGAAAGGATAGAATGTTTCTATGATAGTGCAACCTTCCAAGTTAAATTAGATGATGACCTCAATACAGAAAAAATACCACTCGGCAAGGGCGTGAGACAAGGAGATACCATTTCTCCTAAGTTATTTACACTGGCACTGGAAAATGTCTTCAAGAAATTAGAATGGGAAATAGAGGTCTAAACATCGATGGGTACACCTTAGCCATCTGAGGTTCGCAGACGATATTGTCTTGCTGGGCACCGACTTTCAAGAACTGAACACCATGCTAAATGAGCTAAATGACCAATCCCAGAAAATTGGCCTTAAAATGAACTAGAAGAAGACCAAGATAATGAGCAACAATATCCATAACATTACCGTAGACAACGCTATTATTGGAAACGTAGATCATTATATACAGGGTGTTTCAAAACAAATGCGAAAAACTTTAAGGGGTGATTCCTTGTTCAAAATAAAGGGCAGTTTGCTTTATAAACATTGGGTCAAAAGTCAACCATTAGGGAGATATCGCGGTACAAAGATGGCGGAAAAATAATGTTTTTATTTTTTATCTTGAAAACGAAAAGAGATAGACTAATGAAATTTTATGGAAGCATTACTGTTATGAAAACACACTTTCAGGTAATTTTTTACTTTTTTAAAATGAGTGGAAGGGGTTGAAATAAACTACCCCTATCATTCTTGTTAACGAAATTTAAAGAAAAATCTTATCAAACACATGTAAATGCTTTAATTTGGATAGTTTAGTTTGTTTAGAAACTTTTTTACCTCTTGTGTTTTTTTGATAAAACTCACCGATTGGAAATTAAAAAATAAAATGCAAAGCATTACATGCCAGGACAAAAAACATTTTCTGATAAAGAATCTAGTGGGCTGCTGTAATTTTTTTAGGAAAAAATCTAGTCGGCCGCTGTTACTTTTTAGGATGTTTCTAATATTATTTTATTTGACATTACTCTACTGCAATACGTTATTATCTAGATGATTATTATTATCACTAGATTCTTAATCTAAAAATGTTTTTTGTCCTGACATGTAATGCTTTACATTTTATTTTTTAATTTCAAATCGGTGAGTTTTATCAAAAAAACACAAGAGATAAAAAAGTTTCTAAACAAACTAAGCTATCCAAATTAATTTTTTTGCATGTGTTTGATAAGATTTTTCTATAAATTACGTTAACAAGAATGACAGGGGTAGTTTATTTCAACCCCTTCCACTCATTTTAAAAAAGTGAAAAAATTACCAGAAAGTGTGTTTTCATAACAGTAATGCTTCCATAAAATTTTATTAGTCTATCTCTTTTCGTTTTCAAGATAAAAAATAAAAACATTATTTTTCCGCCATCTTTGTACCGCAATATCTCCCTAATGGTTGACTTTTGACCCAACGTTTATGAAGCAAACTACCCTTTATTTTGAACAAGGAATCACCCCCTGAAGTTTTTCGCATTTGTTTTGAAACACCCTGTATATTTAGGTCATAAAATCAAGCTGGGCAAGGAAAACCAACATACGGAGATCAAACGCAGGATCCATTTGGCATGGGTAGCATTTGGAAATATGAGCGATATTTTCAAGGATAAAAAGGTGCCCATGAACCTAAAGAAAAAGGCTTACGACAACTGCATTCTACCTGTGCTTACGTATGGTTTAGAGACTATGGCAATTACCCGAAAAACAGCAGAACAACTACGAGTAGCACAAAGAGCCATGGAAAGAATCATGTTGGGAGTCACCATTAGGGAAAAAATACGGAATACCCACATACGTTAAAAAACAAAATTAATAGATGTCGTTAAAAGAGTGGCAAGTCTGAAGTGGCAATGGATAAGACATCTGGCAAGACAGGATCCAGACCGATGGCCCCAAAAAGCAATCCTATGAAGACCTAGGGGAACAACAAGAAGTGTGGGCCGACTAAAAAAGAGATGGGTCGATGTTGTCAGGTCAGTGGTGGGAAGACAATGGATAAGATTGGCTAGAGATTGCGAAGCATGGAAAAACCTAGAAGAGGCCTATATCCAACACTGGATGGAACCAGGCTGAGAAAGAAGAAAGAAGAGGAATGTTTCTAGACACAAAAAATCTATTTCCAAAAAAATTGTTTTTACTAGTAGTATCTAGTATATAGTGGTACTGATTAATAACCTAAAATCTATCAAATCTGTCAATGCCATATATACAATTTGACAGTTCTTATTACTATTGTTTATTTACATTCATATTAACGCATTCTGTTTTCAAACCCATATCGGCTTAATATAAATTAAAATGGCTATACCAAAATCTGAGAAGAAAGTTAGAGACATTATGAAAGCGGACGAAATGTGGAAATCCTTAATACGAACCGAAGATGCATCCAACAAATTATGGGATAACAATTGGGGCTGGATACTAGAGGAATACGCGTAAGTTATACAGGGTGGCGCGGCGCCTCTCATACCGGGAGGCTCCAAGGAGAACGACAGTTTATATTCAAATTGTGATTGAAATGAAATTTTGTGAGTATATGTAGGTGAATTCAGAGCAATTTTTAAAAATATAGAAAGTTCTACAGGGTGTCCCCAAAAAAAGTTACATATCAAAGTTTCGTTTTTTGTAATGGAACACCCTATATATTAATTGATTTTCGGATTCTGGGAGAAAAATAAAGGTAAGTTTTATAAGAGAAGTATATGACTAAAATGTAATGTTTTTGACATATTTAACATTTTCTAGAAATAAAGAACAATTTTTAAATTACAATAACCAAACCAAACTTAACTTGGAATTTGCCCGGTATAGCCTAATACGTAATTAACTTAAGTATTGTACTTTAAATCAAATTAAAACTTGATGCAAAAAGTTGTACAGGGTGAGACAAAATTAATATTGAACATTGGTCACCTTTAAAAGCATATGTTACTCTTTTATTTTAAATGGAACATCCAGTATATTATTCCAATATCCACTGGAGAATTCATATCTCTTCAAAATACTGTTAAGGTTGCCTACTTCTCAAACAAATATTTTCCTAGATATTTTCATTTACATGATTTGATCTAGGTAGATCTTTATTATTTGATAAAATCTGGATGGCTGGTATGTCTGGCGTTACTTCAACATAGCTGTTTAATTAGACCAACTTTAACAACTAGTTATCATTTTGTGTCAGTTAAAACAAAAACATTTCTCAGAAATTTGCTGAAAATGTAAGCTTACCCTACATCAGAGAGAATTGATGTGATTCTATTAGTTGGTGAATGTACACTGCTAAATTGCTAAAAATGCTAAAATTAATAGAATACTTAAATGCTCCTGATTTTATCTAGTCTGGTTTTTTATGGGGATATGTTAAAGACTGTTTAAAAAACTCGATCAACTATTGTCTACAACATGAGAGATACAATATGCCTTTTAAAACTGAAAGAATATGCCTTTTAGTATGGAATACAATATGCCTTTTAAAATGAAAAGTTCCTTTTGAAAAGACAATCATTTTATACAGTTAACAGGGAAGGAAGCATTTTGAGCATTTGATTTCATCTAGCTAATTTTTGTCACATAATTATAGGTTTATATCTAAACCGCCCGTCGAATTAAATACCACAACGATTTTTTTACTCATTTTCAACGAGTAACTGTAACTTTGAAAAAAATGGACCGATTTTGTTGATTTTTTTAGCATATTAAAGATAGTTTTTCGTAGATTGATCTGATTTTTCTAAATTTTGTATGAGATTTAGTTTTCTATGATATACAGGGTGTGAAAAAAAGGAATGTAATTTTTGTAATATTTGTGTTGCCGCCATTTTGCCAAAAAAAAAATTAACTAGAATTATAAGTATTCTGGGTATAGCTAAGACTAATATCTCGGGACGTATATGGAATTTTTACGATAACTCATCTGGAATAAAAGATAATCAATTTTTGCTCTAACTTGTATTTTTTCTACCTTTTTAAGAGATATGCTAACAAAATTGAAATTAACTTTAAAATTGTAGGATATTCGTTACTTTTACAATGTGATATTAAAAAAATGGTTTAACTAACGCAGTTTTTAATTCAGGATCTCTTAAAAATACGACCAGCCAAAAAGTAAAATTATTTTTTAACCTTATGGGCTGTTAAGTTCAGAATATTAAAAAAATAATTTTACTTTATGGCTTGTCGTATTTTTAAGAGATCCTGTATTAAACTGCGTTAGATAAATATTTTTTTTTTAATTTCACATTGTAAAAGTAACAAATAACATTTGTTAGCATATCTCTTAAGAAAGGTAGAAAAAATACAAGTTAGAGTAAAAATTGATTATCTTTTAATCCAGATGACTTATCGTAAAAATTCCAAATACGTCCCCAGATATTAGTCTCAGCTATACCCAGAATACTTATAATTTTAGTTAATTTTTTTTTGGCAAAATGGCAGCAACACAAAAATTACATTCCTTTTTTTCACACCCTGTATATCATAGAAAACTAAATCTCATACAAAATTTAGAAAAATCAGATCAATCTACGAAAAACAATCTTTAATATGCTAAAATAATCAACAAAATCGGTCGACTTTTTTCAAAGTTACAACTCGTTGAAAATGAGTAAAAAATCGCTGTGGTATTTAATTTGACGGGCAGTTTAGTTTTAATTGTCTAAAATAATTAAAATATGTTTTAAACGTGTATCTTTTTATTACCGTTGAGTATTTTACTGTACAATCTTTAATTTTGTCAAGATTTTGTCAAATAATAAAGATCTACTGAAGCAAAATCATAAAAATTAAAATATCTAAAAAAAACCTTGGTCTGAGGGATAGGCAACCTTAATGATATTTTGAAGATATGTAAATTCCCCATCGAACACCGGAATAATATATTGGGTGCTCCATTTAATATAAAGGAGTAAATTGCTTTTAAAAGTTACTAATGTTCCATATTAATTTTGTCTCACTCTGTATAACTTTTCGGGTCAAATTTCAATTTGATTTAACATACAGTGGTTACTGTCATTAAATATCAAGCTATACAAGGTCAACTAAAATTTAGGTAGCTGTTATCGAAATTTGAAATTTACTCTTCATTTTGACAAAATGTGAAATATGTCAAAATTCTTAGATATTAGGTATATGCTTCTTTAATAAAACTCACGTTTATTTTTTTTTCCGAAAATCAATTAATATATAGAGTATTCCATTAGAAAAAACACAACTTTGATGTGCCACTTTTTTTGGGGACACCCTGTATAATTCTATATATTTTTATAAAGCTTTCAGTTGACGTATATATGCTGCCAAACTTTGATTTCGATATAAATTACCGTTCTCCTTGGAGCTTCTGCGGCGTATGAGAGGCGCCATCCTGTATGTTATAAAAAATAATAATCAGATTTTTTTTTTATTATTGTACCTACGCCTGTGAAATATTATATATTTTTATATAACTAGGTGTTTGGAAAAAGCTCTAAAAGAAAAAACTGAGAATTCGGAGTATTTAACACACGTTCTGGAAGAAAAGAAAGAAGATAATAGACAACTCACTAATTTTCCGAATTCTACAAATCACGTGTATGGTTGGCTAGCCGTTCAAAAGGGATTTGAGTTGGATAAATACGGACCAGATATGTTTAAAGCCAAACCTTTACCAGACATCTATTCCGTACCAAAACAATAGCTACAGAAAATATATATCAAATAGTTGAATTATTTTGTATAATTTATTTTACCTCTCCTTCAGTATTTTGCCAAGAATACAAAATTTTGAGCTTTGTGAAAAAATAACAGTACAATAAACAAGTCAGTCGTTTAATTAAATACATTAAAAAAGGAGTCACAATTTACTATTTTAAATCCATACATTAGTCACCAAAGCAACATTATAACCATAACACTATGTTTTGTTTATATATTTTTTTTGTTTTTTTTTTCCTAGACAAATTTGAATTTTTGTTGTTTTTTTGGCGCTTTTCGGTATTTTGTGCAATTTATTTTCACCTCCTTCATTATTTTGTCAAGATTACAAAATTTTGAGCCTTGTTAAAAAACAATACAACAAACAAGCTAGTCATTTAGATAAATAAAAACTAAAAAAAAATCATCATATACTATTTTAAATTCATAGATTAGTCACCAAAGCAACATCATAACAACTTTTGTTTTGTTTACAGTTTTTTTTGTCTTTTTTCTAGACAAATTTGAATTTTTGTTGGTTTTTGGCGCTTTTCGGTATTTATTTTATATTATTTCTTGTTACTCTCATAAAAATCAAGTTCTTTGAATTTTATACAAAATGTATAAATTTGGTGGTACTTTGTATCAGAATTCAAAACAGTCTGATTTTCTTTAAACAACCGGATATACGCTATTAAACCACGCCTTTAGGAATCCAAAAATAAATCAATTTTGTTTTTATCAGAAACTTTTACTTCTTGACGTAGCTGTGTGACGTTTAAAGCTATTTTTAAATCTATTTTTTACTTTTACGATATAAATTGGTAAACATATATAACTTTTACAATGATTTTGTAAATATTCTGAAAAATTGAGCATAGGTATTTCTGTTTCTGTCAAGTTTTCAGAATTAAAACAATATACAGTATGTCCCGGGATTGTCTTTACAAGATGAAAAAAAATTTTGTTGTTGACATTTTAAGAAAAATAAATAAAAAAATGTATAAAAAATTTTCGCTTGTTCTAAAATGGGTCGTAATCCGATTTAAGGTTGATTTTCATGCATCCGTTGTCCGACGATACGTTGATACGATATTAATTTTATTGGTAGAATTTAAAGACTTTCATTGGTTAGAAAATAACGCAGTTTTTAAATTTATTGCATTTTCATGCATCCGTTTATCGGGTATACGTTGGTGTTATTTTATATTTTCGTTTCCATAACGATTTTGCTATTTTACCGATATTTTTATTAAGGTTAGATTAAATTTGTCAAAAAAGTGTCAAAACGTCCGTTATCGTATGAACGGGTCCGTTGACGGGCTGAAGTAAAATATTTACGGATGAAAAGTGGCGCGAAAATGCTATGGCCAATCAGAGCACCGTCGGACCAACGCAACGTACCAACGTATAACGGATGCAAAAAAATCAAGCTTTTCATACTTTTCCAGATTTCCGTATTTTTTTAGAAAAAAAAATGAAATTATTGTTGAATTGGCGTTTCCATGGTAATGTATTTGGTTTTCATTCATTGATAGATTGTTATTGATAAAATTTTAAATAAAATCATATTTTTTACTGTTTGTTAAAGAAGCACAATATTTATTTAGTTACTCGAGAAACGGTGATAATAGTTATCGGAATATGTGATACAAGAGCAAAAACTATGACATTAACAAAGAATGAAATCCTAGATTATATTACCATAGAAACGCCTCTTGGTTTTTAGGACTTTTTTAGAAAAATATCAACCATATTTTCATGCTTTTTTAATTATCTCTAAAACGGTGTGGAAATTTGGAAAAATATAAATGGGATTAAGCATTTTAGAACAAGCAAAACTTTTTATGAAGAATGCATTTTTCTGAAAATGTCAATAATAAAAAGTTTGTCCTCTTGTAAAGACAATCCGGGGACACAGTAATCTATTAAATTATAAATTTGATATCAAAAGTAAAAGTTCATTCAAAGAAAAAAATAAAATATACATATATTGGATGTAATACCATATCATCGAAAACACGGCGTCAGCGATAGCTATGAAATGAATATGGGGAATTTTGTATATATGTATATATGGGGAATGTCATCGATTTTCATTTTATCATAGGTCGTAATTTCCAACATAACTTGATATCTTAATAACGAAAAAATTACATTTGTTTGTTGTTTGGATATTTTTGGCTAGTCATTGTAAATATAAATATCGACATCAGTTTCAGAATTTTTATTTAAAATAACATTGATTTTGGCATACTGTTTTGGCTAAGATATATACAATATGTTATGTTCTAAGGATGTTCTGACACTGAAAAAATCAAAAATAGTTTTATATTCATTTCTCAAACGTGTATAAATATTTTAAAACAATTAATAACTTTCAAATATAATTATTACGTAGTCCCACATCCATATAGTTCAAAAATAGATCATAATTTAGAATCTAATTGAACAATGACGCTAAGTATTTGGTGAACCAAAGCAATGGTTTGTTCGAATACTAAGTAACAGTGGCGCAACTAAGCATAGACTTTTGGGGGCGCTGGCGCTGAGGTCACGTATAAGATAATATAAATTTGAGCTTAAACCCAATATTAAATGATCCTACCGATGGGGACTAATTCTGAAGTTGGTGGCACCTCTTAGACCCCCTCGAGTTGCGCCACTGCTACGTAACTAGTTATACATACTGAAAAAATAAACTGTAACAATAGATAGGGTTTTGTTAGTGAATTTATTTTTAAAACAAGGGGAATAATACTGCAGTACTAATAAGTAAACAGTGGTGATATGTGTCTGAATGCCATTACAAATATTTTTAAAAAAGTGAAGGTTGAATATTTTTATCATTTAGGCACAGTTAAATTCATTCATTACAGTTAGCTTTCTTTGCATGCTTTTGGATATTCGGATTTCACCTATCGGGTCTATTCTCTCACACTTGTCAGTTTACTCTGTTTTTTTTCTCAGGTAAGATTTCAACAGACCACGACAGAAAAAAAGCTTATAAATAGGTTATAATTTTGTGTCAAATTCAATTCATTTTGGACTGTGTTATTACGTGTGTTTCGTGTTTTTTTTTAATTAAATGGAGGAAAACTCTAGGGAAAATTAAGTGTTGACCCAGACAATAGTTTACAGTTAATATTCAGTGCCGAGAGACACAATTTGCCAGAGACAGAGCCAGAGACTTGTATTAGCCACAAATAAAGTTTGTATACCATCTCGTATATGGTACCAAAAACTGGGCCCGTATTCTATAACTTTGACATAAAACGTTACGCTTTCAAAGCGGCGAGCGCAAGTATTCGATCAGCGAAACGCAAGGCAGTCGATTTTGGTACTCTCGTTGCAATGCGAATCGTGTTCCTGATACGCGTTGAGCACATATTGGCAACATCACAATTTCTAATGTAGCTAATAGTCAAAAGTTGATAACTGACGAATGAAAACAATGAAAAATGTCAATGTTACGTGAATTTCATAACCTATTGTTGAGTTATGCCAAGCTATTTTTCTATGGATTTTGTCATTATTCTTATTATAGGAGGGAAGTGTTGAAGAGTCTTTTCAGCATTTTCGATGTTTTGAACAATATTTATAGCTGCCAAGTCGTAAATTATCAATTACTTATTGAGGAATTTACAGAAGAAGTAGTAATTTTCACTAAAGAGCAAGATAACGCACAAAATTACAATTTTTTTGGTTTTCACTGATGACAAGTTCGACAAGCAAAACGATCCTTTAAGGCAACCGTTTTCAAAGCGCTCAGCGCAATCAGTAAAGACGCTAAGCGCGTCAGACGAGAATACCGAAATCGGTGATTAAGTGCGCGCTCAGCGAAAATTAACGTCATGTACGCTGAGCGTCTAAAAGCGCTTAGCGTTTTCAAAGCGGTGAGCACAAGTATTCGATCAGCGAAACGCAAGGCAGTCGATTTTGGTATTCTCGTTGCCATGCGAATCGTGTTCTGGATACGCGTTGAGCACATATTGGCAACATCACAATTTCTAATGTAGCTAATAGTCAAAAGTTGATAACTGACGGATGTAACAATGAAAAATGTCAATGTTACGTGAATTTCATAACCTATTGTTGAGTTATGTTAAGCTATTTTTCTATGGATATGTCATTATTCTTATTATACGAGGGAAGTGTTGAAGACGCTTCTCAGCATTTTCGATGTTTTGAACAATATTTATAGCTGCCAAATCATAAATTATCAATTACTTATTGAGGGTTTTATAAAAGAAGTAGTAATTTTCACTAAAGAGCAAGATAACGCACAATAATAAATAAATTTTAGTACTGCAGAGAGATAATGTCAAAAGATACTGGTTTAAAAAATTAAGATTAAAGTTAATTAACCAACTTTTAATTTTTAAGGTACAAAATTCAGTAAGTGTTATTATTAATAATATATTTTGATTTATTTATGTTGTGTTTTATTTATTTCTTTGCAATATTAATTTTTTTTTACTTGTACATTAGTTATATTGATAAATGTAATAATAAATGCAGGAAGTTGCTTCAGCTTGAAAGTAAGAAATACCTAGTTCTTTTTTATTTGTTTTTGTATAAACCTTTATTTTAACATCCTAAAACATGTCTCAAAACCTACATATGATAGCGTGTGCTTGTAGACTTGTAGATAACTGAGGTCAAAGGTCAAAAAATCGATTTTTTGGGCATTTTTTGCAAATATCTCGTTCCCTTTCACATTTACGCTATTTGTATTTACTACAAATATTGTTCAAAAATTTTTTGTACCTCAAACCGTTTTTGAGATAGAGGGCGGTGAGCGCGCAGTCTTTCATTATGTACGGTATCATTCAAGTTCAACCTGTAGTCTCGGTCAAAAACACGCCGTATAGAGTCCGTTAATTGTTAAAAAATATATAATTATAAATAATTTACATTTTTTCATAAAAGATCATATTGAATATAATAATTTTTTCATAAATTAAGTTATATCTTTATTTAATAACATTTACCTCTTCTTACAATTAGAAAATTATTAACAGAAATACTTTAAT